GACTATAACTTTCATGTTTTGAGTTTTTCTTGAATCCAAATGTATCTTGATGAAAAAATGGGACAAAGTTAGGAAAAAATTAGGAAATTTCATAACTTAGAAAATTTCTAAGTTATGAAATTTCTTCATTTCAAACCCTAATTTGTAATTTTTGATTTCTTGATGAACAAGTTTCATAATTTGACATGTCTTGATGAAAAATGAATCTTGGCACTTGATTTTGACCAAAAAGTCAAAGTTTGACTTTTCAGTACACAGTCAAATTTTGATCAGTTGATTGGAAAATTCATCTGTCAATCTTGTGCATTTGGGATCTTTTGATCTTTTTGAATGTGTCAATACCATGTCATTGAGTCCTTGAGTCCATATGTGAGCTTGGTTTGCCATTGGCTAGGCCAAACAGTAAAAAATTGCCCTTGTGCAGTCAAAACCCTAAAAATGACCATTTTGCCCTTCTGGTGATCTGATCAAATTTCTTATGGAATTGTGATCCAAACTTGATCAAATGGTCCATATGAGTTCATAATGTTGATGTGGGTAAAAAATCATGAGGTTTGACTGTCAATTGACCACAGTTGACTTTTTCCCCAATACAGCTGATTTCTAGGTCAACTGTCCAATTGGCTGGGCAAAGATTGGAATTAAGGCTTGAAACTTGGTATGGATAAACTTTGTGAGTCCAACATGAAGCATGAAAGTCATTTTGGGAATTTTAGGTCAAAACATCTTTGTGCAAATTCAAACCCTAATTTGGGTCAACAGTGCAAGGAGGAGTCTTTGAGCAGAGCAAACCCTAACTTGATCTTGAGCTCCAAGGGTCTTGTGGTGAGAAAATATTGGTGAAATGGGAGGGCAAATTTTGGGGTACAACAACGTTATAACCTTTTTGTCATAAGAATTTGGTAGGCCTCAATAAGTTATAACTCCACATCTATTTCTCATGAAACTATACCTTTGTATCAACTCTCACTGACTGTCCACTCCATGGTAGACTCCTTTCATACTTGCTTCAGTAAAACTCAAACATAGCAAGCACACAATAATTTCATCAGGTGGGTATTCCGTAACTTCTCATTTCACTATTATTAATGCTTATGAAAGTTGTAATGACACACCAACCCGTATTCGCTTTAGATGTACCTTTCACACATCTTTTGGGACTTGACAATGTGGTTTGTCTAGTTTCATATCAAATTCTGCATATTTCCTCTAGGCAGAACGTTGTAACATTCTCAAAGGGCTTTCATTAGCCAAATGTATGAGAATTATTGACCTGACATGCTACACAAATTTTTCTCTCAGTATCAGTCTCATTAAGAACCCTTTGCATAAGTATCATAAATAAATAACGCTGATCCTAAGTATTCATGATATCTTAAGTGAAAATAACATGTATAAAATTATTCACACCTTCCATGAAGACAGTCAAAGTGTTGAATTCATGGCTAAGTTTGGTACATCTTCTAACATTGATCTCCTGATCCACTCCTCCCCTCCCTCGAGATTAAGTAACATCCTTGCAGCGAATGTTTCATGAACTTAACTTTTAAGAACTTAGTCTTTTTCTCCCAATTTTATTTTTTTAGTCTTGTTGTAGAAAATTACATTGACAATAATCTGCTTATGTTAACTATATGTAAGAAAAGAGATCTTTTAATTTGTTCATATGTTACTGCTTTGAAGCATACTTTTGGAGATTCTTTTTTATGTATAACATCTTCAGCTCAAGTCGAGGAAGACTCTGTTAATGATATTATAAAATCTAAAAAGATTGTTGCTAGCGTCAAGAAAAAAAATACTTTGTTAATGATATTATAAAATCGAAAAGATTGTTGCTAGTGTTAAGAAAAAATGATTATGTGTATAATCTTTTATTGAGATTTATTAACAACAATCATATTCAAAGTAATTTTGGTTAAACTCTAGATGATACTACCATTGAACTATCAAATATATCTTCTGTTTCAACATGCAACACGATCATTTATATACACAAATAAAGTTACATCCAAGGGTTATGAGTATGACAAATCTAAATGCTAATCTTTGTGTTGAAAATTCCAATGTCATTGTTTCTCATGACTTTGAATTATTGTAGCATTTTTTAAAGGATAAAGATTTTAGTGAAACTAATGATAAGATATATGTATATATCGATGATGCAAATAATGCACTGACCATTAAATTTTTGAAAAATTATTCTACTGTAAGTATGGGTGAGAATAGCACAACTGAACTACAAAAGCATACATAATAGCTTATTTAAAGTATATATATATATATATATATATATATATATATATATATATATATATATATATATATATATATATATATATATATATATATATATATATATATATATATATATATATATATATATATATATATATATATATATATATATATATATATATATATATATATATATATATATATATATATATATATATATATATATATATATATATATATATATATATATAGGATGACAATCTGACATGTCCAGTTTACATTCGTCTCACTAAAATTTATAAAAAAACAAACACGTATTATACTTTTATATAATATTTGTTCAAGAAGTTGATCCTAAACAAATTTCTAATATAAAGAAGTTTTTATTATTATTATTATTATTATTATTATTATTATTATTATTATTATTATTAGGTTTATCTTAATTATTATTATTATTATTATTATTATTATTATTATTATTATTATTAGTATTAGGTTTATTATTATTATTATTATTATTATTATTATTATTATTATTATTATTATTATTATTATTATTAGGTTTATCTTAATTAGTATTATTATTAGGTTTATCTCCCCAAATTTTCTAATTTTCCTTTTATCTACATTTACTTTTTAAATTAAAATTGATTTTTATCAATAAAAAAGGGTCAAATCATGGCCCAACATACAAGTTATTTTACAAGGAGGATTCAATACCTATTGTTTGATTTCTTCAAGGCTAACTCAGCTATATCCTCCGAGTTAAATTTAAGCATGCATACAAGAGTAAATTCATCTTTTATTATTCTTTTTGGTGTAATTGAGTCATCTTGGACTTAAATTAGAGACCTTGCCTATGAGGTAAATCATTACATCTACTATTCATCCAATTAGGAGAGAATCAATAGATTCCTTTTTGAGAGCGATCCATCATTCCCGAACTCATTTCGATATAACAGCCACCATCAATAAGTACGCTGAAGACGTTGAAATTGGTGATTATGGTCGTTATCATCAAAGGAAAAATCTCGTTCGGGATCCACCAATATTCTCGCTATTGCAAAATTTTGTGTTCTTGATGGAAGTGATTCTATCTTTCTTGTTGACTGCCATCAATTCAACAATCTTCCTATTCATTGTACTTTTGGACAATTTGCTCGCTCTTAGGATGTCGCCAATGATATAAGCAATCTACTGATACTTCCCCTTATGCCTTTCTTCTTCCCCATTACTGGTCCCTTTGCCCATGTCCTCGATAATGGATTTGACAATTTTCTTAGGGAATTGTTTTTCTTCGGGGAGCCTTCCCGACTTCTCTTGCTATCCATGTTGTACTTAGTTAGCTGTCCTTTCTTGAGCAATCCCTCAATCACATCTTTCAGTTAGATGTGATCGTTTATGTCATTTCTATGTTCAATGTCTCACTAATTTACTATTACGCCTTTATCTTTGGGACTTATGAGAGATATATTATTATTTTTTCTTCTTTATATATGGTTTATTTCTTTAGTTTTTCAGTTATTTCTTTAATCCACTCTTTCTTTTTGAATGAAAAATAATTTTTATTAATAAAAAAGGTAAAATCATGGCCCAACATACAAGTAATTTCACAAGGAGGATTCAACATCTACATATTGTTGGGTTTCTCCAAGGTTATCATTGTCAACTAATCTATACCCCTCGATGTTCGCGCATGCACGTAGAAGTAAAGTTCATCTTTTAATCTATTCTTTGGTGCAATTAGACAATTATGGACTTGAACAAGAGACTTTGTCTTTGAAGTGAATCATCGCACCTACATCCCATCCAATTAGAATATAATCAATATATTCCTTTTTGAGACCGATTCCTCCTTCCTGAACTTAGCATACAACTATTTATTGTATTACATTGTGCTTGTTTCCTCTTCTTTGTTGTCATGACAAGTCTTGGTGGAATAACTCTGATAAAAAAAAGTGTTAAGAGACACTCTAAGATCTTTTTTTTCAAATTATTCCTATTTTGAGTCAAGAGAATGATACAATCACGTTGTTATCCAAATAAAAATAAAGTTTATATTGTTAACTTCCTCATGAGCTTGTGTAGCTATCTTTCCCCAAGTAGATGTTTAATTGAATTTCTTTAACCACCACTTTGACATCCTATTTAATTATGTAATTTATAGATTACATAGATTTTGCGAAGTGCTCCGTGAAAAGAGTTTCTAACTTGAATCTCTAACGACCGTTTCAGATTACATGAAGATATGTGTTTATTTATAAGTAATGCTTATTAAAAAACATACATAGAGCAATCTATCAGAAGTAAAAGATTATTTGTAAAGGGAAGACGACTTTAGTAAAGGCAACCATGATAATGAGAGGATATAATATCGGCCCTAAATAGAATGTATAAATAAAATAAATCAAAAGACAATATATAATAAAATGATGAAATCCAACGAGTAACCAACTTGCCACGTTTTTCACCAATATCTCGCGATCAAACCCCTCAAATTCTCCACGTGCTACCTGAAAGAAACATTCACCCTTAGATTTATATTTATTTTTACTGGTTTTGTTTTCTCTCTATCAGTTTCACTCTCGCTGTGATTGAACACTTTTTAATCTTTTATTTTTCTTTTCCAATCTCTGCATGCCCTTTCTTTCTTTCTTTCTTTCTCTCGATTTCATTTTCACCCTCGTCCCCACCCTATTTCAATTTAAAAAACAAATTAATTTAAAAAATTATAATTTGATATTTCAATTTGTTGATCGAAAATGAGGTGGGAAAAGATTGAGGTTAAGGCGATAGGAAAAGAGGGTGATGGTGTGGAAGTGATATCTGGGCCAGGCAAAAGGTGGGGTCACACCTGTAACTCCATTAATGGTGGTAGACATATCTATGTCTTTGCTGGTTATGGCAAAGATAACTGCCAAACTAATCAAGTTCATGTCTTTGACACTGGTCTCTCTTCACTCTTGATTTTCCTTTTTCTTTTTTAATTAGGTTTTTTTTTCTTTTCTTTTTCTTGATAATGTGCCTTTTTTGTGTTTGATGATTTGATTTTGCAGTGAACCAGACATGGAGTCAACCTGAAATAAAAGGCTCCCCACCTACTGCTAGGGACAGTCATACTTGCAGTGTTATTGGTCATAAACTGTTTGTCTTTGGGGGTACTGATGGGATGAATCCACTCAAGGATTTGCATATTTTAGACACTTGTGAGTTGTTATCTTTCTTTAGTATCTCTGTTTGTTTGTTGCCTTAAGAAGAAAATGCACTATTTCATTCATACACTCTATTATGTCAAAATCTATGTGGGATCTATTTTGTGGGCCTCATATGAAATTTATCCAATAATGAAGATTCTGTCAGTGGAGAGAGAGTGTCTATCTTGCCTCTAAAAGCTATAATCTGTGGATTTTAGCTTCTACTTGGTTGATCTTTGCATAAACCTGAAGATATCTTGCTCTTTTTATATTTATGACTTTTTGATGGTTAATTATTTTTAGCTTTGCAAACATGGGATTCTCCGGTTATACGAGGGCAAGGGCCAGAGGCACGTGAGGGTCATAGTGCGGCTGTTGTTGGGAAACGGCTTTACATTTTTGGTGGTTGTGGAAAATCCGCTGATAATAACAATGAGGTTTACTACAATGATCTTTACATACTGAATACAGGTAACGTTCGCTCTTCATACTGCGGTACTGACTGTTATTTATTGATCGAGTTAGTTAGTTCATTACACAATAAATCCCCTTTGACATTTAAATGAGATCTTATGTAAGTGATACAAAGTATGGTAAATTGAATGGGAACGTTTGGATTCGAGAATTTGTCTTTTGATTTTGATTATAGTATCTGATGTGGATTATTCTAATGGTTCAGTTTTACTGTTTCACCCGCAGAGACGCTTGTTTGGATGCGCCCTACAACATCAGGCACACCACCATCTCCTCGTGATAGCCACACTTGCTCATCGTGGAAGAACAAAATTATTGTGATAGGGGGTGAAGATGGGCATGATTATTATTTGTCTGATGTCCATATCCTTGACACTGGTATCAACTTGTTTTATCTTTATCTTTTGTTCAATGTTTTTAATGAGTTCTCAAGTTGAGTAACTCTGCCTAAAGTTAATCCTTATACATATTAATGAAGCACTACTATGGGCAATTTTAGAATATAATAATTTTCTTTGGAACTTTTGTAAATATTAGATACTCTAATGTGGAGGGAGCTGAGTACATCAGGCCAATTGTTGCCACCTCGAGCTGGTCATTCAACAGTTTCTTTTGGCAAGAACTTGTTCGTTTTCGGTGGATTTACCGACGCCCAAAATCTATACAATGACCTTTATATTCTTGATATTGGTATGTTCAATATAGCTTATAAAATACATTTTTCTTCTTATTTTCTGTTCTTGTTATATTGTGGTTTATCTTTTTAAATAACGTAGAACCTTAGTGGGGGTATAATTTTTCCAACCTCTTGAATACAGTCTTCTTAGTAATGAATTAAACCCTCACGGGACAAAGGTTGAGATGCCAGTAACTGTCTTCTATGGACTTTGTTTTCTCATATGGTCTTTCACTTCTTATACTCTGCAGATACTGGTATTTGGACAAACGTTACAACTACAACCAATTGTCCTTCTGCTAGATTTTCTGTAGCTGGTGACTGTTTAGACCCATTTAAGGGTGGTGTTCTTGTGTTTATCGGCGGTTGTAATAAAAGTCTTGAAGCCCTGGATGATATGTATTACCTATATACAGGTTCAAAAAATTGTTTTATATTTGCTACTATTAAATTTTTCGAAAGCAATAATTAGGTTATGGCTTTTCTATATATCACTAAATAACAAATTGTGATACATGTCTGACTTTCAGGTATTGCTAGAGAAAGTGAACAGAGACCTGAGAAGTTATCTTTGAAGAAGCAATTGAAGCTGAAATGCCAAGAAGAACAAAATCTCATTCCTGGCCAAAATCAAGTTATGGTTGGATATGGAGTGGGTGCTGATATTGGCCAGGTCATGAATGTGTTGAGTTATAGCCAGCCAAGTAAGAATTTACCTTCATATATAAATATAAACTTTCTGTTTCAAGGTTATCATAAATTATACGTTTGACCTTGGCATATTATTGGATTGAGGAAGTTCTTCTAAGGATACGGGCTCATGCATAAAAATTTGGGCCATGTGTCTATAATTGAGTTTAAGGCAGTAAGCCTTTGTGTTCACAGTTGGAACTATTTGTAGTATTCATTTAGTAGAGCATAACAAGTTCTTCCAACTAGTATGCATTAATCTCTGACGTGGAGTGTAGTTATGGTAAGTCAGTGCCGAATAAAACAGTGTTGTCCAATAGCGGCGCTATAGCGCTTCTGTGTTGGGGAATTTGATTAAATTGCTATTGTTTTGAGATACACTTACACTATTTAGTACAAAGTTTTGTCAAGTAGCGCTAGGTTGTCAATAGCGCGTGATAGCGTCGCTATAGCGGCATAGTGTGGCGGCGCAGCTCCTCACTGCTACACTATTGGCCTGTGAAGCATATTGACGGTAGTGGTCTTAGCGGCCACAAATAGTGGTTTGGTAGCAGTGCAATAGCAGCGCCTTGGCATTTTCTTGAACGCCATTCTCGATTTGGGATAAAAACATAAACCCTAGTATTTTAAAACTTTTTAAGGGTATATTGGTCTTTCCCACCCTTTTATCTTATGCTTCTCCAGTTTCATTGTTTTTTTCATTTTGCTCCACCGTTCTCTTCTGCCTTCGCGTAATGGAGATGCGGAGTTTAAGGAGGAAGGACAAGTTTGAATCAAGTGATGAACAAGGTAATATTAATGTGGCGAAACTTAGAAGTGAAGATGAGGCGGACGCGAATGTGATTTAGATATTTCATTTTGTTTACTTTTAGAATTAGGTTTAGTCATTTTGAATACTTTTATAATTTGATTTGGCAACTTATTTTGATGGGATATGACAGTTTATTATAATTATTAATTATGAATTGTTCATGTAAATCTGCTTTCTTCATCTATTTTTAAGTATTTATGTATGTCGGAACTTGTGTTTAACACAGACATTGTTTTTTAGTCTTCACAATAGCGGTCATACCGCTATCCGCTGTACTATTTTGGGGGTTCGTGGCCAGACGTCGCTATCCGAGGTTAACAACCTAGAGTAGCGGCTATAGCGGCGCTATATCACTGTAACGTAGCGGAATTTGAACAGTCCACTATTTTATTTGATTTGCGATTGACAACACTGTAATTAAATAAGGAACCACGAGGAGAAAAAGAATCGAATTAACGTTTGACAATTTATATTTCAACATACCAATTGAGAATGGCTAAATATGTGTCATTAATGCAGATAGACCGAATATCCCAGTAAATCAATTGCTACCTTCTCATGGAAAGAAATCATTTGAAGCCAAGGTTACTGAAAACATCTCAGAAGGATATACTATTGAAACTGTTATTGATGGAAAGCCTCTTCGCGGAATTCTGTTTTTAAACAAACAAAACCCTCTTCACTCATCCGCTCATGCTCTTAATAGGTATGTCTTCTCGGTTCTTCCCGTCCACTGCTATTTTCTCTCTGCGTTGTGTTTCTACATGCTGGCCTAATATTAAGCATATATTTTTATCTAGTTTGTTTGAATTTTGAGTTATGCTTGACTATGAAAGCAGGAAAAGGACTGCTGGTGAAATTGATGGTGTCATCTCAAATGGTACACATTCAAATATATTAAAGACTCCTAAAGTGCTGAAGCAAAATCAAATGGAAAATAGACATCCAGAATCTCTCGGTCACAGTTCTGATGCTGTCATTGCACTTGCAGCAAGCAATCCAATAACTGCCAATGCATCTGTTAACCATAAGGTCAAGTTGTATTCTTACTTATGTTGATCCGAGTTATAGAGGCTGATCTGCATATAGTGATTGCTATTCGCTATATCTGTGGCCAACGTAATTCAAATGACTTGTTTCAGCTATAGCTGTTCTGTACAATACAAATATTTTTTCCTTTATGGTTAAATTATGTTTAATTTTATATATCAGGATTTTTCCTTAGTAAGATGTCATTGTTAACTCTCAAATGAGGTTGATATACTTGGATCTTGTAATTATGGATTGAAATATCGTCCTGTTTCTGTATTGTCGATGGTGGAAGGTCGAAAATCTTCCATATAAGCAATACCATTGCCGCTTATGGCGGGTATCCCTTTACAAATTTTCTATGGCGGTTGTTGTGAATACTGTATATTTCTAATTGTTTATAATCATTGCCCTCGGGCCATTTATTGGCTTGGCCTCTTTTAAGGTTTCTTTTATAAATACCTGACTATCGCGATCGTGCAGGTTGAATCAGAAGCTGCTTCTTTGAATCAAAATGCTGAACAAATTGAAACACCACCAACCTTGGGGGAAAACTTGAAAAATGATGGAGCAAATCATGTGACAAATTCCAGAGTTGAAGCCCAAACCAATGTTCAAACAAATGTGGTGATTCTTAACTTAGAAGCTTCAAGTCATGATAAAAATAACGATGCACCAAACTGCAACACAGAATTTCTGAAACCTGCGACAGCTGAGAGTGCTGTGAATTTCTCAAATCAAGGTATAAAAATGTTGTGTGCTCGTGTTACATAATGGATATCTGTTTTCCGGGGTCTAACATTATTTCAATATTCCTATGATCTTGTATTGTAGGTGCAGTGGTGGATTCTACAACTCCAAGAACAGGAGAATGCAATGAACCAACAAAATGAATTTGAGCTGATGAGAAGGAAAATGAAGACCTTGTTTTGCTTTGCATTTGTACATACCTCATCTTCTGAAGGTGATCATAAAGGTCAATCAATGTAACCGGTGGTATTGGTATAGGCTAACATCGTCAAACGGTCGGTGGGAAACACTATTGTGTCGACACCGTTTGATCTGCATTTTTTATTGAACAAGAAACCATGATTACCTTAGGAAAGTAGTGATAAAAAAAGTAGTTTTTAGTTTGAAACCATAGTTATTATTATTATCTATTTATTATTTCCATTCATGCTTCTTTCTTTCATTTCTAGGAAAGAAAATTTTGTTAGAAGCTTTACTTTTGGTTCTGTTATCAGGTCATAGAATGAAACCTTGTTTTATTTTAGTTTTTTTGAAATTGGATCAAACTTGATCTTAAGTGTTTTGAGCCTTGTTGATGACATGTGACAGAAATATATGATGAGTTTCTTTGTTGCTATGAATTCAGGGATGCTTGTTATAATTGATTTATTTTGTGAAGGTTAATGCATTTAAATAACTCAATTACTTTGAGATTTAATTTAATATTTTTTTAAAGATGAACCAGTCCTATGGAGGGTTAGCATAAACAATAGTTATTTAATAATGTTAATACATCTCATAGCATTATTTAAATAAATACACATTATTACTTTTTAACATATAACTTGATTTCAGAAAAATAAATTCAAATGAACACGAGAAATATTTTTTTAACACAAAATCTGACATTAACATTACTTTTTTTTTATTTTATTTTTTCCCACCTTGGTTCTAAGGAGTTCCAACGTTCACATTCATGTGTATGTGGTGTTGGTTTATGTGTACCAACAAATTTTAGTAAATATTATTTTGAACATAAAGCAACCAGTTTTGACATATGGTAGGGTCTTGTAGAAATGCATTGGGAAATAAAATCACGAGCCATGCAAATGAAAACACTGCTCTTCACTCTCTATGTCACCCTCACTAGTCTATAGTCAATAATATGAAGGTGTAGCTGCAAAAAAATGAAATATTAAATTCTTACAAAACAAGACAAAATTAATAATTAAAAGAAAGGATGGTTACCAACGAGAATAAAATGATTAATTTAAGCAAAATTGTATTTTAGAATGGGTACCAAATAGTACTGATGAATTAACATTAAAAATAGAATATATAAAATCTACAACATTAACCAACAACAAGCCTCCGTAGCATAGTGGTAGTGCGTTCGCTTCGTAAGCGAAAGGTCGCGAGTTCGATCCTCGCCGGGGGCTATATTTACTTTTTCAGCCAAATTTTCGAACTAAAAACAAAAGAAATCTTAATTACTATCCTCAAATGTTTGTTTACATTTTCTTGTTCAATTAGTTAACGCTGACAAAAAAGGAAGAAGGAACCACCTTATCCTATGTACAAATTAATAAAAAGATATATAGTGAATAAATTGTTATGAATTAAATAAATTATAATTGTATATGGATAAACAAGTTTCAGTCCAATCAAATTATTGAATGTATACACTTGAGAAATTTAAGATATATTTTTTTCTTCTGAAATTCATCTTTCATTTCACTCATCTTGTGCTATGTAATTAAATTTGACGCCACTGCTTTAGGAATCCCACATCATCGATCAACGGTGATTCTAGTTCCCACACGGAATAATGACGCAATCTAAAGGAATTGACATTGAATTTCCGCAAAATTCTACAATCAAATTCCGTTTGATTCAAAGTCATATCACAAAGAAATCACATTTGAAGTTCATTTCATTCTTAACCTTATGACAAAATACATTTCCTCTAGTTTCCCAGATCCAACTACTAATTCCAATGAATGTAATTAAGAGGAGACAAAGGAAACCTTAGGACGAAGAAAATCCATTTGCTATCATCAGATCTCACCCTATTTAGAAGAGAAGTCAAAAGAAGCGGCACATTAGCATTATCGCGGTCAGAGAAACAAGCCTTTACCGCAAATTCAAAATCCTTATTTATCATAGTGATATGTCGTATCATGTTAAGAAACTCAATCTACATTTGAAATTGACAAATCCGAATATAACTCAAGATGAACACGAAAGCAGATCTTGTCCATACTTGCCAAAATAGAAGGAGAAAGGAAACCTCGTGGATCCAGCAGATTTGTCAATCGCCTATGGGAGGAGGCATATTGACTGAGTTTACTCTTACCTTCTAGTAAGCTAAACTGACATACACATCATCTCAAGCCAATGAGGAGCCTTTTCTAAAGGATAAAACCATGAGGGTTCTCACACCCAAGGATGAAGATACCTTGTAGCTGCAGTGACACGAACTTGAGGTCGACTGGTATGAAACATGTTGCCAAGAATTCAAGCAACTCACTTCGACACCAGATGCGGAAAATTATAGGGACGTTGTTTACCGTGAAATTTGGTAAACAAATGCTAGTATTCCTAAAGATTATTTGCAGGATCGACTAGATGATCCTAGGACATACGTGCAAAAAGTTTTCTGAAATTTGTATGGTTTTTGTGTAAAAGACAAAGATTTTGACTTAGCTGAAACCTTGAAACCAAAATAAAAGAAATGAAGTAAAAGTGCAAAAATGTAAAAGAAAGGCTTCAACAATGGTCAAAGTTGAAAAGAACTGAAAAGTAAATGCAAAAAAGAAATTTCAATGTAAAAGAATTTGCATTAATAAAAAATGGTGTTTGAATAGATACATTGCACTCGATCAAACTCTTTTTTCACTTCTCTCAAATACTTTGAGTATATTGAGTTTTATATTAAATTCAACACACTGAAACCTATCATTAGAATTCTTATTTATACTAAAATCTAAATAACTGCAACGAAAGGTCCTTTCTCCAGAAATTAACACATCTTCGTTTGCATGTGTTTCTCCTTCAAACTTGCTTCCGCACGTCCTTCAAATGGAGGTAAGGACAAAATGTAGTTATTTATCCATATTTCATATTCCAACTGCATTGTCGAAATGGTCTTTCACGTTGCTCTGAAAATCACTAAGTCATAAATATTACCACGTGCATAGGAACTTCGACACATTCTTTTGAGCGAAGTTCTTTCAACATGTCTATAAAAAAATATAAATAGAATCACCCATATTCTATCAAGCATTTCTTTATTCTTCTTCTTGATATACTGAAACTTGAGGTATATTGAAAATCTTAGCTAACAAATTTCCCCTTAAAAAATGTCACCTTCGACCAACGAAAGAAAGGGGAATTTTTTGAACACTTCGACGTTGTAACCAACATTGTACCGATGTCATGGTCAATATGATCACTTTTCTCAAATGTTATTTCGAGATGTGCAAAATTTAAAAAAGCAAATCATGGCTCCTATTTTAAAGGAGAACGCAAGCCATGGAGAACTCAAACGCCCAACTAACCTCTAACGAGGTACACGTGTCCCACTACTAAAATCTAAATGTCAATAAAGGAACTGAACAATTTCCTCCTTTTCCTATAAATTCTGCATTTTCTCTCATGTCTTCCTTTTTCTTCCCTTTCATCTTCTCATCTTCTTCAAGTTTCTCTGAGTTTTCTTCCCAAAGTCACGAAAAATCAACCTTCTCTCCGAACTTTCTACTACTTTCACCATGATTTCCTCCAGATCAAAGAACTCTAAAGATTCCAAGAGCTCAAGGATTCTCTACCTCTTGCTAATAGTATTTTGGGTCCACTTCTCACTGAGAATCAAGAGTACGTGCCTGAATCTCCTCTTCTAGAAGAAAAATCGCGTAACTATAAATCCCAGGTGCTAATTCCTTTTTCTATACATAGAGAAACTCATGCACTTATGGGTCCATTTCCTGACCCTAAGCAAAATGTTGGGAAATAAGGGAATTTCCCATGATGATCATTGCATAAAGTCTATTGCAAGCTTTAAAAATCCAACGACTAATGATGATAACCTTAGCGCCAAATCAGAGGTTCAAACAAAACCCTCTAAGGTTAAACCCATCGATGAGAAGAAAAATCCCAAAGAAAAACCTCCCGTACACAACAAATCTAAGGACAAGTCTGTTTTCAAAGAAAATAACCCCATTAACTTAGGTTATATGAGTAACACTATTCGAGTGTTTCGATCTTGTCCCTTATTCAAAAATCCTGAAGACTACCTTTCTTGGCTAGAGAAAGTCGAAAAGGAAAAAGCCCAAATTTGGAAAAACATGGGGATATACAACTTGATTCAGATATCGAAAATAGGTCCCTCCTTATGCCAAAACATGTTGTTCGTTTCCTTGTACTTCTGGGAAAGCACAAGAAACACCTTCCAAATCCCTTGTGGAATGATCATATAACGGCCATCATTGGTCTTCAACCAACTGGGGAGATCTTCGACCCAAATGAGAGGAATGACAACACTATCAACTTCAACATCAATCAAGCCAATTTTGGTAACTACTTAGTCGATCACCATAATAAAGACAATGACGAAGTGTTTTACAAAGAGCACATTGATTTCTTGGCGCTCTAGCTATCGCAATGCATCTTTTGTTGTAAGCCATTGAAAGTGGCGAAAAAGTTCCCGACTTTATCCAATCAACCGCGTGAAGGTCAGAACATATATTTAAGCTGACTAATACTAAGATCTTTATATGAGACCCTAGGGTCAGTTGTCGACACTCTGAAAACTCTCAAACATGGAACCAAATTCTTGATTATTGGCTACTTCAATTATGGATGAATGCCATGTTTGAACCATCACTCCAGATCGACAAGCCCAAGGATGATGATTAAGATATCAAGAATAAGAGGATTAAAGGTGCTCGAGTGGCCTTGATGACTCCTACTGATGCTGGATGCACTCTACAAGAGGCATTCACAAGATATGTTATGATGTTCGACAAACGCCATAACTTCACCCAATACATGGCTCCCTTTGGTAATCAAAGTCATGGGTCTGAATGGTTTACTCAAGAATTCCTTGCCCCCAATGCTGATCAAGAAGCCGAGTCTCTTGCAACATGGGGAACTTTCCTCATCCTAA